ATGAACGTGCGCAGCCAACACCACCTCAGATGGGACATATTCTCAACGCACGCATTGCCACGTTTATCCGCCCGTTCACACATTGCGGCATGGACTATTTCGGGCCACTGACAGTCACTATCGGACGACGTCACGAGAAGCGGTATGGCGTGATATTCACCTGCCTTACGACCCGAGCTGTACACCTGGAGCTGTCACACGACTTGACAACAGACTGTACCATCATGGCAATACGTAGGTTGATCAGTCGCAGTGGATGCCCTGGAGTCATCTACTCGGACAATGGCACCAACCTACGAGGTGCACCTACGAGGTGCAGAAAGAGAACTCGAGGAATCGTTGGGCCAGCTGGACCAGACACGCCTCACAGCTGAGCTCACACCGAGAGGAATCAAGTGGGAGTTCAATCCTCCGGCAACCCCACACATGGGGGGAGCATGGGAGCGACTAGTGAGGTCTGTGAAAACCGCCCTGAGAGCTGTGCTCAAGGAACGTGCTCCGCGTGAGGATACACTCATCACGCTACTTACAGAGGTTGAGACGATACTCAACAGCCGGCCGCTCACACATGTGTCCTCTGACCCAACTGACGACAACAGCCTGACGCCGAACCACTTTCTCCCAGGGACGCCATCAGCAGCACCAGTGCCCGGAGTTTTCAGTGGTGATGACCTACATCTGCGCCGGCAGTGGCGCATCGTGCAAGTGCTAGCAGACCATTTCTGGCGCCGCTGGATTAAGGAATACTTGCCAACGCTAGCCCGGCGAACCAAATGGCACGGATGACCGAAATTCAGCTGGTGAACTAGAGTTATACACACATGTCTAATTCTGGCTGCGCGTTGAACCCTGAGCGATTGCGTAGGCCCAGTATGGATCCAACGATCCGAATGTGGCTCCATTTTCATTGAGAACTTGACGACTTTCTATTATGCTGCTGCACAATTACTTATCTCTAGTTCTTCTTCACATCTCTTCTTCGAGGAGAGATCATTTTCCTGCTCTTGTCAGTGAATTTCAGTAGCTCAAAGCTACGCATTAGGGACCATCCTTAGATATACCGTATTTTCTCTAATTAAAGCTAGGGGTCAAACGGGTGTACCTTTAACTAACAAACGGGTAATTTTCTTAACGGACGGGTTAACGGGTACCCTTTAGCAGCCATATTAATTTTTTGCGCATTTCTCACATAAATCGTGATTTAAATTTGTATATGCTCAGGTTGTATTTTGATACCATATTATTATGATTCGAAATTGATTCGTGTCTCATAATAATATTATGGCAATGAAGGTTCCAAATGAATGTCATCCGTACATTTGCCCATGTACAATGAAGGTTCCAAATGAATGTCATCCGTACATTTGCCCATGAACACAACTTCACAGGCAGTTACAATCGTACATGGTCCTAGTGCTACATATATTTTGATACATGTACGCAAATCAACTGCAGATCGATGTGATTCAAGCCATGCAAGGACAGAGTAGTTTAGCAAAACTTCCGTGATCTCGCGCAATCCTATTTGCTATGTTCGCAGAGAACTGGTACTCTTCGCATTCAGAAGATGTTCGCACCCATAGCTAGCCGGGGTGCCTGACACAGCTGATGTGCTGCTGGCCAGCTAGCTGCTAGTGCTAGCTCGTTGAACTCGTGAAACGAATCTTCACAAATCCGTTATCTTGTATGCAATACTTCGAACTACTTTCCAACTAAGCCAAGCTCGTCGATTGAAGGAACAAACTACAACCATGAGTATCATAGCTACCACCTACGGACATCACCGTGTGTGACACTTCGACTGGTCACTCAGCCTGGTGACACTAGTTCATCTTCAAGTGCTGTGGCAGGTTCGATGTCGGAGAACCATCGTAACTTTCTAGTAACTCAGCTGCCATACATATCGATGTCGAAGAACCATCGTAACTGTTACTTTCCAGTAACTCAGCTGCCACCTCGAACGAGTTTCAAGTCTTGCTTTTTCTCACATCACAATTAAAAACCTCCAGTACGAGGATTTTTACTTGCACTAGAGTGGAGAGAACGACGTCTTTCAGGCTGCTCCTGCCTGACAAAGTCGAAAGCGGGAATGCACAGGAAAAAGGAAAAGAGCATCCGCACTCCTATTTTGAGTCTTGGCATACGATAGGATGATCGAAATCCAACCTTTTTTTCTTTTTCTTTTTCACAAACGGGTACCCTTTACTAACGGTACCTGAGATTAACGGGCGGGTACCCGGGTACCCGGTACCTGTTTTGGACTTCCCACTCTAAATAAAGAATACAAACAAACAAACAACCCGTTTGACCCCTAATTAAAGCCCAGGTCTCCAATAATAGCCCAGTCTCCAATAATGACCCGGGGTATATTAGTAGTTGTAGTAGTATTTATTTTATTTACCATCGGATGCCTCAACAGTGATACACACAACTCTTAAGAGGGCCGATAACGGGGTAAGTGGAAAGGAAAAGTAAAGAAAAAAATAGAAAAATTGGAATCCAGACATCAAGCAGTACAGTAATCAAACACCAAGTCAACTTTAAGCTTAGTACAAGAACTATCAAGATCATCGAGAAACTCAACAGATTCCAAAAAGAAGGTCAAAATACTTCTTAAACGCCACTGGATCTTTAAAAAGATCCCTGAGATGGTTTGCAAATGTAGAGGTACGGTGGTGTCTGCGCCACTCGGCAGGCAGTGTATTAAAGAAAATTGCGGCACGATTAGAAAAAGAATTTACTCCATCAGTTGTCCGGTGCTTAGATATGGCAATGGAAGCATTAGAGTGGCTTCTAGTTCTAAGGCCTGGTGTGAGGGTGGTTTGAAATAATAAGGGCACAGTCTATAATAGTAGCGCGGGTCACAATTGGAGTATGCAACAAGTATATTGACTGCATATAAAACGGCAGTACAACATGCCAAGAACATATTTGTAAGGAGGTTTTTGGTCTACTGCTTCCTTCCTGGCGCCAATGCTATTGTGAAACATCCGTTTTGACAATATTTCTGAGTTTAGAGTTGAACAATCAGTCTTGATATGGTCAGTTTATGCCTGTGTGGACTGGAGTTGGCTTGATAGTTGACAATTGAAAAAAATAAGAGCCCAGTCTCCAATAATAGCCCAGTCTCTAATAGTAGCGCGGGTAGAGTTGTCACTGAAAAAATAGGAACCCCGGGCTCTTATTAGAGAAAATACGATAGATATTTATTTAGACACGAGAACTAGTCGCTTAGGAGAGGGGGTTGAGCGCCTATTCGTTTCTGGAAATAAACGATGCACGGTTGGTATGTGAGAGCACGTCCTGAAAAAAAGAAAGAAATATCGCTACTTATGTACCATTTGTATGTGTTCGTTTCTCAAGGACGGGGGAGGGGTTATAGAGAAATGCTATGTAGTTTTCGTTTCTAAATAAATATCGGCATTTACGGATGGCAGCGTGAACAAGGTGGGGACGCACTGTACGGGAAACAGCGCTGCTAACTACAACCCTAAACCGGCTGGTAGACGTCAGGCGAAATAGCACGTCATAGTACATTTGAGATCAGCGGGAAGAAGATGACGACGTCCACTAATTTAGTATCTGTGCACACGAATCTGCTGTGTGTGTGACTCTGTGTGTCAGTTATGATATCATCTTCTGTGGTTCCATGCCTAGCATGTACGTCTGAACCATCCTGCAAAGTTTGAATGACGTAGGTGGAGCGATCGCTCCGCGAAACATACTTTTTGAAATTCTCTTCATCGTATATCTTCCACCATTGAAATTTCGAATTTCTTCAAAAAAAGTGCTGAGAGGGGTGGCTTGCAACCTCGATATGGCTTGTTCCAGGCATGCTTTGGAGCCATCTTCTGTTGAAGTAGTGGCGGGGATCTGCCCTGCAACTGCTACAACAAAAAATGATTCGATCTGAGATAGGGTGAGACCGCGAATCTCGGTTGAATATTGAGTATTTCAAGCCTTTTCACGACGAAGATGGAGTTCTTTTTGGAGATGGACATCGCGGCAAAGGACATGGTGTCTGACTTCTGGCGTCTGGTGAAGCCAGGGATCATTTGTCCAGTCAGGTCGGCAGCCTAACCGTCGGTAAGCTTGTGTTTTGATCCCGTTCTGCTCGATGTGGTAGATCACAAACAATTTGATATCACACAAATTGATCTCAGCATCGTGCGTACGGTATTTTATATTCAGAAAATCCCAAAGTGTCTCTGTGTGGCCGTCCTATGCCACGAGAAACTCCAATCAGGCGCCTATGTCCTCTGCCTTCATGATTGAATGTCCACTTCGTTTGAACAACGAACACAACAATCGAGGACGGCTTTGCAATGAAAAATACAGCTACACTGGAGCTGAAAAAAAGAAAGAAAAAAACGTGCTCAGGATGAGACTCGAGTACACGCATACTCTCCCAGCAGGTGAAACGCAAATTTTTGTGAAAAATGCATGTCGCCGACTGACCAATAATTTCGCCTGACGGTTGGTCGTGTTCCGCATCTCCATATCAGCATAAAGCACTGACAATGCAAGCAGTGGATGCGGAAGAGAGAGAGAGAGAGAGAGAGAGAGAGAGAGAGAGAGAGAGAGAGAGAGAGAGAGGAGAGAGAGAGAGAGAGAGAGAGAGAGAGAGAGAGAGAGAGAGAGAGAGAGAGAGAGAGAGAGAGAGAGAGAGAGAGAGAGAGAGAGAGAGAGAGAGAGAGAGAGAGAGAGAGAGAGAGAGAGAGAGAGAGAGAGAGAGAGAGAGAGAGAGAGAGAGAGAGAGAGAGAGAGAGAGAGAGAGAGAGAGAGAGAGAGAGAGAGAGAGAGAGAGAGAGAGAGAGAGAGAGAGAGAGAGAGAGAGAGAGAGAGAGAGAGAGAGAGAGAGAGAGAGAGAGAGAGAGAGAGAGAGAGAGAGAGAGAGAGAGAGAGAGAGAGAGAGAGAGAGAGAGAGAGAGAGAGAGAGAGAGAGAGAGAGAGAGAGGCAAGGTGCAAGTTCAAAATATGTTAGGTTCACCCATTCTTACCTGAACACATTCTTCCATTCCAGGTTTGGCTAGTGGGACATTCACATGAGTAGGAGCCCTCTGTGTTTATGCATTTTACTTTGTTAAGACATGCATGCTTCAGTGATGTGCACTCATCCACGTCTGTATTAGCAGCCAGCAGACGTGTGAACATAAAGACAATGTGCCGTGAGACAAGGGTGCACTGAACTAGTATAGAGTGCAGTTACATGTCGCTTACCCGGCAGACAATCACGAGGCACGTCGGTTACCCAACAACGCACCAACAGCCTATGCACTGCATACAGGCGCATAGCCTGCAGGGGGGGGCATGCGCCCCCCCCCCCCCCCGCCCCTTAAAAACTCCGACCTACTTATAGGTTGCCTATGTCCTCATCTCTCTTCGTTTTGTTTTCGCTGCCTGGGCTCTCTTTTATCTTTGCTTGCTTGCTTGCTGGTATTGCTGAGGGAACATTTTTTTTTTGTGGGTCCCCATGGTGCATGGGCCACGCGTACTCATCCGGGGGATATGTGTGAATAATAATAATAATATAGGTTCAGCATGCACATAATGACGATCAATGACTTGCACCAGCCGTCCTACACGGACGAATACAACGGGGACAAGACAGGAAAATAAGTATACAATTGGGACAAGATGAGAAAGTGTGTATACGGAGGAAACAGAAGATGGTGCAGCCGCATGTACACAGGAGTCAAAGACAGCGCAGCAGCGTGTACCAAGGAGTCAAAGACAGCACAGCAGGGTGCACCACGGTTCAGCAGCATGTACGACAAAGAGACACAAACGCAGCAGCATGTACGACAAAGAGACACAAGCATGAACAAGGTTTGTCCTGGAGAGCAGTATATAAGTGGTGCTTTTCGGGCACACTGTGTATTGAGCAGGGAGTGGTGCTTTCTTCCAGGTTTGCCAAGTGGACGGTGCGACGTGCTCCTCGTGTGCTCCGGATGGCAGTCGTGAGTCAATCACGCGTCAAGTTTGGCAGGAAGCGTGTGTTCCTCGTTGGAACAACCAACTTCATATTGTTTTCGTTTCTTTTAATTCTCACTCACCGGAACATTTAGATCCAGTCCAGGTGTACCCACTGCTGCATAAACATTGGTAAGAACCCAAAGTGTTTGCACATGTAGCATTCTGATCCGAAGCACACGTATGCGTTCCGGACGTACATTCATCAACATCTGAAATAGCAGCAGGGAGCAAAGGTGCCAGGGAGAAAACTTATCTTCAGGAGACAAACAAAAGAAAAAATGACATTAATTTTCAGTTGACAGATTCATCTCAGTTCTCAAGACTGCTTAATTGCTAAGATCTATTCTTGAAGCGCCCGAGAAGTTGGCGTCCAGACAAAAGGCAAAAAAAATACCGTAGTTCCCGGTGTGTTGGCCGCACCGGCCTCTAAGGGGCACCCCTCCCCCCCCCCCTTTTTCGGGGTCCAAAACCTGAATTTTTTTACAATCGGTTTATTAGCCGAACTCCCGACTTTGAAATATTGGACAACCTAACCCGATGGGTATCGGTACAAACAAGACGTCACCGATTGATAGAAAAGTTGAGAAGCACGTGTGCAGTTCTACAGATATCGCCTATGTAGGAGACGGACTTTCTCCTATGCAAACCACTATGTATTACTATGCATTGCACTATTCATTGCTGGCACCATCCGGTCTCTTGTTACCTACATTAGATGATATCGGTCTTCTTCCGTCCACACAATAACACTTATGTGGCCAGTGATACGTGACTGTCACTGTTACCTTTAGAGATCGCTAGCTAGCGCTAGGAGCTGTAGCTGGACTTCGAATCTCTTATATGGATCCGTCTTTCAGTTTCCCAGTTCAGTTGTTGTTTTGTCTTCCCTTCCATTTCACTCTTGTTTTCTGTCTAACTAACTCACTTCTGTGCTACCTACGTTTGTCTTTTCGTGCAATCTTATTCCCTGAGACTACTGCTTGTGCTTTGAGTCGTGAGAGACTGAACCAGTTTGCCTTGTCACTTGGTCGCGTACTACAGCCTAGTTTGTCTTTCACTCAGAACTGAAAACATGTAGATGATTCGCACAAGTACAATGATGGATTGCAGAACATGAACAGTAGTCACATTACACCATACATGCACTATACGCATGGAGTGCTGTAGCACTGGTCGTTTCACATCCAACATTGGGAGTCTAAGTCGCAGGGACGATTTTGGAGTGTTTAATGCGTTTTAAAGTGCGGCTAACAGCCCGGACAATACGGTAGATTAGAAATACCAACTCCATCTTAGTTCAAGTGTTGATCAATCTAGAAATCTCGGAATTCTCACTCTTGTAGATTAGAAATACAGTAAAACCTCTTAATAGGACGAACACCAAGGGACCGATGATATTTGTTCGCAATAACGGGAGTTCTTCTTATCCGTATGTTATACCCAGTGAATACACAGTGATTTATCCAATGGAGCTACGAATACTAGTTCTTCTTAAGCAAACATTTGTCTTATCAGTGTTCTTCCTAACGAGGTTTCACTGTACAGTAACCATGGTAACACTCTCCAGACCCTGGCAGGTTGGGACCCAGCACTGCCCGTAGCTAGGAATTGCCCGTAACTCGGAACATGCGTACCTAGTGAATAAAAGTAAACAATTTGTATGCCAATCAATAGGTTGTGGAGCCTTTTTTTCGTCGAGATGCCAGTTTTTGTGGCTCTGGAAGGGCCAGGAAGATGCCCAGTAGATGGACCTGCCCCTATTAGGGACGTCCGGTTTGGGGAGTTTTACTCGAAATAGAACTGTCAACAAAACTACGCTCAGGAAAGTGAAAAGGCGTAAACTGGGTAACCGGAAATACGCTCTGCCACGTCGGGAGTGTCCTGTGTCCTTTGCTCCAAAGTGAGCTAGCACACGTACGCACTACTGGCCGAGTCTTCGCATTCTAACATGTATGCATAGTTATGGAACTGTTGATGTACCGGAACGTCGAGTTTGACCTATGGTGCGCAGGAAATTGGTCCACTTCGGGGCAAAGTCTAAGAGATGATGTCGCGTTTGCTTACCTCAGGATTGCATGCTGACAAGTGGCTCGCACCCGAGTACTCATTTGAGCAAGAGTAAAATAATCTGATGCGAGCGGCGCTGAGATGAACGAACCAAAACTGCGATATCGTGGAATGAGAATTGCTGCTGCGCTGCTTGGCGTGTAGCCGATGGCGAGGTGATGATGTTCAATGGCGGAATTATAGAGCCTACATTTCTGGCAAATACGTAGCCCTTACCCGCGAGCTTACGCATACCGTGATTCCCACGGCTAGGCGAATCAGCTGATCGCACTTGAGGAGTCCTTGTCAGAGTTGCGGTTGCCGTGTCGGCAGCAAGAAGGCTTCCTCTCTGTTTGGAACATCTTATTTCTTCATTCATGGACAATATATTTTGAACTTGCAAGACTCAACCGTATCATGATTATCATAATAAGTATCATAATTATTATTATCATCGTTCTAGCTCATTTTTTCCCCTGTCATAGTCCTGTATATCATGTTCAGCATAAGCGAAGTTGTGGATCATGCTTGCATGGTCGACTCCAACGCGTACATGCAAGTAATAATAATAAGACTCAACCGAGCTCCTTTCCTCAACAAACTACACTGGAAAACCTCCCGGGAGATCCTGCCAGGGCTGCTGGTGCTGGTGCTCTCAGAATGCTTGTCAAACACGACCTCAAGAGATGCACTCACATTACCGACATGCACTCAAGGCAGATGGTCGTTTTTTTCCAATTTCAACAAACTCCAGTTGATCGATAGGCAAAGATTTGTATTGTAAAGCGTTGAAAAGCCTTGGTGCTCAGCTACGCGTACAGTGCCATTTTAGCTGTCTCCTAGCAAAAACCTCAATAAATGAGGGCCAAACGTACCGATACTATAGTGTCGGTTCGCTTTTTGTAGACCGGTAAAGGGCCCGAGTTTAAAAAACCCTTTGCCGGTCTAACTCAATGTATGTGAGGGGTGGTCACGCAAATACATGTACACACAACCAGCAATAACTCAAGAACCATGTGATGTAGGTATGGGTAAACCATATATTTTCAAAATCTGTATGCCTGAACGCGTCCAGAAAATTCAAATATGACTAGGTCCAGGCAAAGATAGGGCCCATGGTAGCCCTTCAAGTTGAGAGAAAATACAATTGCGAATGAAATACACGAATATTACAGCACGAAGGGCGTACCAAGTTCGTGATGGAGCTGAAGTCGTACGATAAACAATCAGGTAAGGGCTACGTCTTTACAAGAAATGTAGGCTCTCTACAATACCGCCATTGAACACCAACACCTCGCCATCGGCGATACGCCAGCAGCAGCAATTCCCATTCCACAATATCACAGTTTCGGTTTGTTCATCTCAGCGCTGCTCGCGTCAGATTCACTCTCGCTCAGATGAGTACTCAGGCGCGAGCTTACGTATGCCATGATTCTCACTGCCAGGCGAATCAGCTGATCGCACCTGACGAGTCCTTGTGACAGTGGCTGTCGCCGTGTCGGCAGCAAGAAGGCTTCCTCTCAGTTTGGAGAATTTTGTTTCTTCATTCGTGGACGATATATTTTTGAACTAGCAGGACTCAACGGAGCTCTTTTTCTCGACACACTACACTGCAAAACCTCCCGGGAGATCCAGCCTGGACTGGTGATGTTACTGCTCTCAGAACGCTTGTCAAACATGGCCCCAAGAGATGCACTAGCATTCTCGAAATGCGCGAATGGCGGATGGTCGTCTTTTCCAATTTCAACAAACTTCAGTCGATCGATACGGCAAAAATTTGTATGGTAAGCATGGTTGTTTTGTACATCGTCAGAAAGCCTTGGACCTCAGCTACGCGTAGAGCGCCATTTTAGCTGTCTCCTAGCAACAAGACCCCCAAAAATGAGGGCCAAACGTACCGATACTATAGTATCGGTTCGCTTAAGGTAGACCGGTAAAGGGTTAACCCTTTACCGTTTTAGGTATTTGTACAGCATAAATCGACCGTCATTGTTCATGCCGTAAATTTTTTATTTTTCACTTTTATTATGTACAAAATGGGGTGATTCTGAAAGTAAAAACCCTCAGGAATGCGATGCAACAACTTTCAAGTCCAGAAAACGAACACAGATTTCACTATTTAGCACTAATAATTATTTGGATTTATTCCCGATCGGGCAAACTGTTGCAATATGCAATAAATCAGATCCTTGCACTGGAGTGGCTCCCTCAGGTAAGTGGATACCAGGTTCGTTCTCTGGGTGGAATGCAGGAGTGTTACCAGTCACAGCGGTGTCAGCATTGTCCCAAGTATTGCAAATATCGACTAGTGCAGGTTGCACCGCTGGCTGTACATAGTACCTGTGCACCACGACCTCTACCGTGACGACGGCCTATTCCACGGCCGAATCCTCTCTCTCTGCCACGTCCCCTTCCACCATTAGTGGCACTCATCTCAGCGACACTGTCGTCGTCTGTGACATCCATGTCACTCTCACTGGCGCTGCTTTCACTCGCCATGTCATCGTCGCGGTCGTCGTCAGAATAAATATTTTCAACAGGATTGTCTGGCTCCACAAACTCATCTTCGCTGGATGAGGCAGCGACAGAGTCGTCAGGAAGGGTCTCCAGAAGCGAAAGAGCTTGCTCCGCGTCCATGGCTTGCACAGCAGGGCAGACAGTTGTGAGGCCAGCTCAAGCAAAAGTCGAAATAATCTGCAGGCAATACCAAAAGTCGCAGGGTACGCACTTTTCCCAAAGCGCATTTTTCAAGTCGCGATTTTCGCGATTTTTTATAATGCATCACACAAAAAAATTGTCGGCATCCTCTGCGCGTACATCTTGGCTACCAGTAGGGAAAATCCCAGCTCTCTGCGGTGAACCAGTCCAGCGCTGTGCGCATAGAAGTCATCGACCGCGAGCGGTCGAAATTTGTACGTACAAACGGTAAAGAGTTAAAGGATTACCCAGAGGCTATAAACTGTTTTCTTGTTTTCTTTTTCTTTTTCTTTAGTTGTTGTGTCAGTCCAGTGATATCATGTTCTGTGATTGCCCGTATAAGAGGCTTGTTCAAATATAAATAAAAACCCAGAGGCTCTAGGCCTGTCGAGGGGATCTCTTACCCATAGAAATATCTTGTACTCGGGGAAAGAGGAGAAGAGGACACAAAAGAAAAAGAAAAAAG